GTAGTATTAAGTCTGGCAATAGTTACGATTAAAAGAAAATGTCTGGCAATAGGTACAATGATTAAAAAGAAATGTCTGCTATTGTCACCTCCTGCCACTTCTGTTTGGCTGAAGGCCAAGAAATGGTTAGCAGTTAAGTTGATTAGTAGCGCTTAATTTGGTGAGTTATAACATAATGGAAAACAGGTTGTACAGTTCAATTAAACATAATCTGAAATTTAATTGTTACATTATCAATCAGATACAAATAGGTTAATGGGGGTGGGAAGGTGGTGTCCAATCCATGCTGAGACTAGTTCATTACAACCTTCTCCAAATATATAACTGATAATTAAAAGAACTAAATGATAATGTATAAAATATCGTACATTTTTCAACCCTCTCAGTATAATAGTTGTATACTTAAGTGATCTGATGTAACTTTAATTACTCATTATGGTTGATTTCAACAAAACAGTTGAACTATTCAGGCTTAATTAGAATATGTAAAATTTTGTGTAAAATGATTACGATCATTATCTGAAACATTATTTTAAACTACAATTAATGTGTATCAAGTTTTGGTTTTGTTTAGGTAGCATTGTTTAGAATCCTTCTCAACAAATTTTGGAAATGCCATTTGTTGATGTAAAAAAAAACAAAAACTCCTCTGTATATTGCTCTATTATATTATTTAACAATTACTATAAAACTAAGAATTGTATTACTGATGATAGAAATTAAACCATTGTTAGGCTGTTGTTCTCAGTTGGTAGCTGATTTTAGTCATTTTATTTTAACTTTTTTTTCTGGTAGACTGAAGTATTCTTGAGATTTAAAATCTGATAGTGACTGAAACTCAAATTTTCTATGTTCATACCACTATGTTATAATGCTTTTACCATATTCAAAAATGATGTCAACTTAAATCAATTTACCCCAAGCAAGGTGCTAATGTCACTAAGATGCAAGGGGCTACTGGGAGTGAAAGAGAATAAGACTTTATAAGGAACTAGAATACCAATCCTATCTACCTCTCTTAAGGGGGTTGGAGGAAGTAAATAAAATTTAGACAGACAGAATTATAGAGTTGAAGTAGATTTTAGAAGGAACTGGAAACCCAATCCTAAATGGGGCTGGTGGGGGGGCAATGGATAAACCCCCACTGCTGTTCACTAGATCAGGGTAGAGTATGAACTGGACAATAAGTAAACCTGTCTACTCCTATTAAACAGCATTTTATAATAGAGGATATTTTTTCTTTTTTGTATACTTTTCAGCTCCAGAGATCTGATAATTTCAGAAAGGTATAGCAAGTTTTTAAATAATTTTTTTTTTTTTTTTTTTTTTTTTTTTTTTTTACCTGGTCTTTTCGGACATGTTTTAGGATTTAAGTGACATTATCAAATTTGTGTTGGATATTTTCTTGTATAGATACAAATTCATTGAGTTTACGTGCCAGTGCATAAAAAATCCTGTGAATATCTATATTATAAACCACACAATAACCCTGAATATTTTCTTGTCAATAAACAATTGCTGCTATAAGTATTAGAACCATTATTCATTTTTTTAACTTGTATTTCTTTCAAATAATATCAGATTACATCTCTTTGAACTGCTTTCTCTTTTATATTGGGGACACTATGTATAGAAGCTACACTAAGAACAAATCTGTATTTTCAAATTCGACTTTCCCTTAGCTGGAATGGTAGAACTGTCTTCTGTTGACAGGCTTTCCAAGATAAAAGGATGGGAGTTTGAACTTCAGCTTGAGGTAATTCTTTATTTAAAATTCACACTGTTTATTGATGGCAGTAGATTGACAGTTTGAGTAGTTATGATGGGAAGTGAAAATTATGGTAAGAAGTCAAGATTGAAGTGTTTAGAGAAGTAGCCACTTGGGAATCTGTTCTACAAAGTGGCAGTTCTTAGAGGATGGGGAAGCTGTTTGAGTGGAACTGTATTCTTACATTTGGAACATGGGGGAAATGAGGATGGTTTGACTCTGTGGAAGTGGCATGGTGGTTCCTATCTGAAGTGGGAGAACTAAAGAATAGAGCTCATCTGAACATTTATCATGGAAAATAGCAAGAGTAATGATAGGATTGCAGGGTGGAAAACATGTCTTCTATCAGTAATATATGACAGTATTATTCTATTTTTGGCCTAATCTGATTTTTGTAAAGATAAAGCATGACAAAGTATCGGGTACTTTCTGGAGTGATAGTTATATATAAGTTCCACTTAAGGTCTGGAGTGAATTTGAGATCCATTAGACCAGTTGTTCTCAAACTTTTTGAAGTTGAGGTGCACTTGAAATCCTACCAATAATTGTACGCACCCTATATGCAAATTTCGGAAAAATGTTATAATGAAGTCAAATATTGCAGAAAGGAAATAATGCAATAAAAAATATAAAATGAAATGTACCTTAAGTTTATTCATTCTTGTGTTTACAAGAAACATGAGTCTTAGCGATTTCTTCAATGTTTGGGCATATATTTGATAGGTAAACTCTCATTTCCTTATCAATACATTGTAGAGTTTCTCTCGTTTTGTACTTAATTTTGTGAGAGCAGAAAAGTCTAATTCACATTAATATGAACAAGATGGCTACCACAGTATAATAAAGTAAACATATTTATTTCTTATATCTGGACATATATTTCTCTGGAATGCCAGGGTGCACCTAGACATCTTCCAAGGCACACAAGTGTGCCCAGGCACACCATTTGAGAACCACTGCATTAGATAAACCATATAACCTCATTGAGTGTGGAACCATTCATCATGACTGGAGAAAACTCTGGATCTAATCGATGATGATAAAACTATACAGGTTTGTTTTTTTTTTTTAAGTCATTGAATATTACAAGCCAGTTATTTTCCCATTGAGAGCCAAATTGTTGGAGGGATCAATTGCAAGGCTCTGATCATCTTGGTTTTTGAAAGTTCCTCTATAAACTGTGTTTTGAACTGAATAGATGTCTACTAATGATATGAGTTATCTATCTTAACCTGTTCTAATTTCATTGGTTATGCTATCTTCTTTGGATTGAATAAAGAATTAGGCATAAAATTCCTGGAAGGTTACCAACTATAACAGACACCTAAAAAAGGCTGAAACTTTGTAACGATAATAACCAAAAAGACTCAAGTCAAACCCAGTCAGTGCTGGAAAGTGAGGACTGAGCAGTTCTAGTGCAGATATAGCAGCAATACTTCATTTTTTTTTTTTTTTTTTTTGCCTAATCTGAGTTTTGTAAAGGTCAAGCATGGCAGGGAAGCAATGGAATGAGCTGACCATTTTTATGGCATCTTTAATCAATAGATTGTATATGAGTTTCACTTGAGGTCTGGAGTGAACTTGAGATCAAACAGACATCCAAAGCATGTAGCCTCATTGAAAGTGTAACTATTCATGATGACTGGAGAAAACTCAACATTTGACTGGTAATGATTAAATGCTATTACCTTGCATTTTTAGGTATTGAAAGTTACAAGCCAGTTATTTCCCTCTTGAGCTATTAGAGCTAGATCAAAGGAGAGATCAGCTGAAAGGCTCTTATCATTTTGGGCTTTTTGAAAGTGTGTCCATAAACAGTGATATCATTTGCATATTTGCTGATCATCTGAGAATGTTTTGAGGTAGATTGTTAAAAGCAGAAAGAGTAGGTCTAAGAGAAGAGCATTAGAGGGGATCTCCTTTTTTTTTTTTTTTTTTTATTAGAAGAAACTTTCACAATATTTTTGTATAATCTATACTTTTTCATTTCCTTTTCTTGTAATAAAAAACATGAATCTAGCATTTTAAAAGCAACTAATATAATGCCAAAAATTATGCAGCACTTATTTTGATTAACTGCATTACTTAGAATGATTACTTTGCTACTTATATAAATGTAAAAATGATCTTAGTCTATGTGACGGGCAGCTGTAAGAATACACTGTTGATTACTTATGGTTAATTTGTTTAAATAATTGCTATTGTTTGCATCACATGGCAATAATTGTAAGTAAAATGATAAGCAACCAAGTAAATGTTTTAAATTATTTGAATATTTGTACCCTGATATAATATTAGGATATACAACACTTGAATTGAAAGATCTAATTTACCTGATTGTAATAAAATTAAAGATGAAGAAAAGATATATGTTGCTCATGAATTGGTTACATTTTTTATTGGATGTTAAATTTTGTGAATACCTTTCAGAAACCTGCATCTGTAAGTAGACACTTTATTCTAATGTATTTGATTCTGTAGTAAATTCTAAAAGGTCGATGTTATGAATATAAATTATTCACTAAATCCATTATTTAACTTGAAGCATGCTATAAGCACAGGTAAATAGACTTTACTTTGGGGGGAGGGGGCTAAAGTGTTAGTACAGTTGATTTATTTACCTGGAGAAAATTTGATTACATTTGTTGTTCATCAAATGAAACTTAAATTGAATGAAATATTGTATTGTGAATGTCTTTTTCGTCCTTAGAGGAAAACATTTAAAATATCTAGGTATTGCTATATCAAGTGATATTATTAAAAATAACTGCACAAAATGAGCATATTATGTTTAATTATTGCAATAAAACCTTTTTGTGATTATAGGTTTGATAGCCAAGTGTTCTTTATACTGTTGACTTTTTCTTGACCATCCCAAAACAGGCTAGTTGACATTTATTTGAACAAGATGTGCTTCCAGTGTAGGTATCTTGGAACTATAAACAAATATATAGGATATACACAAGTGATTTATTTTTTACATCTTATCAACCTTTCACAGGTTATTTAAAACAAGAAAATATTTTTAGATGCTAATTTATTTTTTTTTTTGAAATGATGTTTTACTTATGTAAATGCTACTAATTAACCCATAGCTGGGGGAGAAGTGGGTACATGCCTTTCCCAAGGGTATTTACAACTAGGTGAGTATAATGAACCCGATTGTAACTCTGTAGTCCAATTTGCAATTCTGAGCCATTATCCACGACAGCACCTGCACATCCAAGCTTAAAGCACCTGGTATTTCCAAGCAGTCACTCATCTAGGTACGAACCAGGCTCGACATTGCTTAACTGTAGTGATCATATGAGAACTGGTGTTTCAACGGGGATACACATAAATACATATCACTCCTGATGAGTCATGTAATTTTGATTGCTTGCTTTTTTTATGTTAAGATAATGATTAAGATTGTTTTGCCAATAAAAATATATTCAATATTATTTTGTTCACAAGTGACTTTGAAAATCTTACAAAACAAACAATTATGTCGTGATTGTGGGAGAATTTCCCACACTGTATAATTGCTATGATTCAAGTCTTGCAGTAGTTCGACATAATACCATTGGTCTCTGAAGGCCATTCATACCAGTTACTTGAGGGCATTCTTGCTCTCGTCTCCCCTCCCTCTCCCTATCTCTCCCTCGCCCTGTCATATTTTTTCTTTTACTCTTGCCCTTTGTGTTCCTTTGAAATTTTGAGCCCAGCTCCTTTTTGACTGTCAAACAAAAGGATGCAGCAATTTAAGCTGATTGTCATTGCTACTCTGCATTTGTTTATTTACTTTCTTGCCAGTATAGGAATTTTGTAGAAACAGAAAAGAATTCACAGCTGAAATATTTCCTGTATGAAAAGACGGGTGGGGGAGCATTCAATGTCTGTACCCTTGTACACTTTTATATATATATATATATATATATATATATATATATATATATATATATATATATATATTTATACAGTTCTCTACAACCTATATGCCCAGTTCTAGACAGATGTTGAGAACTTATGCATGTAATCAAGAGATTCAGTATACTGTCTACACTATATGTGCACTTCGAAATTTCTGGACTGTATATGTAGATGTGAATTGTCTGTGTTTATGGTAGATGGCATAAAATAGGTTAACTATACTCACTTAAACAGGACCTATACTTGTAACATCTGTGCACATGTCATCTTGATAGCACACCTGAAATGAAACTTGTTTGGATATTTTGATGTATAGTTTGTGCTTACGACTAAAAGCCAATTGGCCTTTATGTAAAATAGGTATACTTGAGTATAATGCGAGTTCTTATAAGTTTTTCTTAAGGGGGAAAAAAAAAAAAATAGAGGCTTGCACTATACAGAATATTTTTTGAAGCGGTTCAAAAAAATCATGCATTTTCGATGACCAGTTGCCCTAGAAAAATTTTTCTGGAGAGGTTAAAATTAAAAGTTGCACTAAGCATGAAATCCGCTTCTACATCGGTATATATGATGAGTGTTATGCCTGTAGAAGAACAAAAAAAGAGTGTTCTCTTCATATCAGTCTTCTTTTGGAAGCCAATAACTTCTTTGTTGGCAATCATGGCTCGCCACAATTTTGCTTTCCTTTGTAGTTCTTAATAAATTTCATCTTTATTTTTCTTAAAAAATTGTCCATTTACTCAAGTTTTGCTAGCTAGGTTATGCATTGTTTTCCTTTTTCCATCATGCCTTCAATCTGTCCTGTGAGTATCAAATTTTCTAAGCCTCATTTCTTCATTATGTGCTCAAGAAATTTCAACTGTCTCATCATGATGTTAAATATAATTATCCTTTTTATCTCCTTTTTCTCTAAAACTTTGCTGTTGCTCACATGTTCCGTATGGCATTTAACAAGCCAACAACACTAGATTAAAAAAAATGATTGTTGCCTTTGGATCCTACATGCTTCGTTCTATCTAATTTATCTTTTGTATTGACACTGTCTATCTTCTTTATCTTTCTTTCTCTCTCTCTCTCTTTTGTGCAGTGAGAGGTAATGGCTTAGAAATCTAACTTTATCATTTATCCTCACCTTTTTTTTTTTTTTTTTTTTTTTTAAATGTTTCTTATTATAACTGTGAATCTGATTGTATTGAAGAAGTAAAGGTTGGAAGCAGGAGAGGAGGAGTATAAGAAAGCATTATTATTGATTTATTTGTTTCTCTCTCACATTAGAATCTACTCAATGCAATACACATATACATCACATGAATTCGTTCAGTGAGCCAGAATGCTTCTTACTGTTTTAAGCAGGAGATGTAAGATTTTCATTGTTGAAATTTTTTAAAATGCTCTCCTCCCTCACCTCCCTTGGCAGTCGTCAGCTTGGTTTTCTATACATACACACACATATATATATATATATATATATATATATATATATATGATAATGTATATGTTTGCTACCTCGCCATCCTCCAAATGTAGGCACTCTTAATATCACCAAATCCAAACTGATTTTTCATTTGTTAAAATCTTTTTTCCTTTTCTTAGAACTTGTGTGTTGTTATTAGATCAACTATCTCAGTTGACACTGAGAATGTGTTGGCTTGTGTATCATTTCAGAAAGCCAAGTAATTGAGTGATTTGAAGACTACAATCATTGCTGGCAATTACCACGAGTGTACTGACAACTGATATTGGAAGAAACACTAGTAGAATTCTAATCGTTCTATTTCATGATTGATGCTTGATTCTTTGAAAAGTAATTGTGGACTTTTATTGTAGTGAAATATGAGGGTTGGTATCTAGCTTACTCAGTTATAGCTCTCCACTCACATGCCCTGGTTCTAAGTCTATGTACATCCAACTTAACCTTTAAGAAAATATACTTCTCTTCATAGCCAACCATTGACAATTGATCCTTGTTTTTTTTGTTTTTTTTTACTTGCAGTTTTTAATATCTATTACCATATTTTACTCTTGTTGAAATATATTTTTTTTTATAATACACCTTACTTTTTAATGATTTTAAAAGAAAAAAAAAAATCAAACTGATTTTAATTAATGTGATGCCTCTATGACTGTAAGACTTATGGGTCTTGATGTCATATATGTTGTAGAAAATGGCACCAAAAGTAGTTGACACATGGATTTCATTAATATTTGATCAAGAGCCTGAAAGGAGAAAGATAATTCATTAAATTTGATATGGTCACTTAAGTTTGATTGGTAACTTAAAAAAAAATGATAAAAAAGTTAAAATTAGAACAAAAGCTACTTTGTTTAAATATTTTCATGGTAGTTGTTCTGATGAGTATTTCTTTATGATAGCTAGACTTTTAGTTTTATGAATTTAATCATATTACTAGATTGGCAGTTAGGTCTCATCATCTTACATTGAAATGGCAAGATATAACCATAAAGTCTATGCTGACAGTTTCTTTTCTCATATTTCTCTCTTAAAGAATTCTCTTCTTGATTTCCAGTCAACTTTGTTGTTCAAAAATTTAAATGCAATATCAATTATCTTCAGTCTTCTGAATTCCTGTTGTTTTTTTTTTTTTTTTTCCTCTATGTTTAATGCTTTCCTTTTCTTATATTCTCTTCCATTCAGTAACCCCTTCTGTCTTAGTGTCTTTATGTTCTTGGTTGGAGTACATTGGTTAAAAAAAATATTTTTCTGTGCAGTATTTAGGTATTTAATAAGCTTGACTTAGACATATAGTATTACTAATGGTTTGTAGCAAGACTAGCTTGATAAAAATGTACCATTAACAGGTACCCAACTCAAAGTTTAAAAAAAAGCCATGTTTTGACTCAGATTTTAAAACAGTAAAATATTCATTTTGAGAGAGAGAATAAAGAATTGCTAATTGTAATAAAATATTTAAGTCTATTTGTAAAATGAAAAAGTAACCTACTTTTCTTGGTATCTATCATTTATAATTTAGATTATATAGTTGATTGCGTGATTGGTATAATAACTGCAGTTGGGGTCATAGTCATTGTAATTCTATGATGTTTTTCTTAGCTGCATAGTATGTGTTTTGCCAGGGTTTAGAATTTAAAGTTCTTCTTCTAGACTGACTACCAACCAAAGCTGAAAAGCCCAGTCTGCTCTGCTGTTTAGCTCCTAGTTGGTGCAAGAACAATTGGATTCAGATGTTCCCCAATAGTATTTGTGCAAAAGTGAATGTAACAATGCTTGACTGGAATTCAAACCTGACTCTGAGTTCTCGTTTTGCAGCCACTGTTACACCTGCATATCCATAACTTCTATGTGCCGTTTCCTTTTAGATTGTGGGTGATTGCGCCTCTCTGCAACTTATTCTTTGTAGCTTTTAGTAATGTTCTGCTATCCATTCACATCAACTCTTCTGCCTCTTTCTGTTCCATTTTGCCATTAATGTCTTGAGTGTCAAATTTTACAAGCCTTCTTTCCTCATTATCGACATATGGCCAAATCACATTGAAACACTGGTGATGGTATGAGAACCAAATTTAAGCAACATTGAGACTGGTCAGTACCTAGATGGGTGACCACTTGGGAATATCAGGTGCTGTAAACTTGGATGTGTGGATAATGGAAGAAAATTGGAAACTGGAGAGCCAAGTTCTAATTCCATATTCACTCATGCACAAATACCCTTTGGAAAGGTATGAATTCACCTTTTCACCCTCTAACATAGTAGGAATTGTATCAGTAAATCATTATCTCCCCCAATATTCTTACAATCTAAAAATATTTTCTGGCTTTAAATAACCAAAGGGTTGATAAACTGTAGAAAATAAATCAATTTTTCATCAGAAATTTCATGTATCTCTGATTCTAAGTATGTGTCCTTTTTGTTTCCATTTTCCTTAAAACTTCCTTGTTGCTTACATGCTCTGTCCAGAGTGTTCTCAGTATCCTTCTGTAGAATCTTATTTTTGATAAGAGATGATATAACAAAATGTTTGGATGATGTGCTAAATCATAAATTTTCTTTCCTCCATGTAATATTCCTAAAGTGGATTTTGTAAGACTAGTTGTAAACTTGTAGTTCTTTTGTCATGTTAGACTTGCCAGTATGTATCATTGAAGCTTAACAGTGGCTGTTTTATAAGCTTTGTGTGTAGCACTCGGTCAATTTCTAATCTGCTTCATACTTGTAAGCGTAAAGAATCTTGAAATCTCCTCCAGCTGATCACTTATAAGCTAGCTGCATGTTGTCCGTGACTAGAGAATCACTCAAGGACACAGCAAATTCAATGATGGCAATTTTCACTAGTTGAGTTTCTAACCTGCATTTACCTCATTAATACCATGTTGCTCACCTGTAAATGAATGTTCACTTCATTTTGGTATTTTGTCAGGTCTGTGTTTTATCGTTCAA